AGAAGCTTGTTACGCTCAGGTATGTAACACAATCACATCTCAAATTAATGAGGATACCATTAAAAATTAGGTTTCCCCTCTGTGAATTCTTTGTCACTGGGCAAGATTATACTCATGCCTATTCCAGAATTGTACAAATGAGCTGAATTTAGTTGTTTCTGCTATTTGACTGTTAACCATCTTTTCTGAGTGATTCTGTTCCACATACTGCCAGCTCCTGTTCACGCAGTTTAGGAAACTCCTACTAGAGTATCAAGTTAGTGCCACTCCTGTAGGGGCTGTCTCTCTGGTTCATTCTCTTTTTGGTGGGTGGGGACTTGAACCCTCACTCCAGGGCAGAGAAGAGGGAGGCAGGCAGTAGAGTGTGTGCCCTCTGTGGGACATTGGCTTTTCCTGACATTGTCCACTGAAAGATTACGAATTCAGTTTATAGAATTTTTTTTCTGGTACATAAATTAGTAGGGCTTTCTATAGAGAAACAAATCTTCCTTCCCCCAGATCTCGCAGATTAGGCAAAACAATAAGAACAAAACCAGAGGACTGATACTACCCGACTTCAGGACTTACACTTACACAGTTACAGTAATCGGGACAGTATTGTGTTGGCAAAAGAAAAGACAGATCAGTGAAGCAGAAGAGCCTGGAAGTAGACCATACAAATGGAATCAACTGCTCGGACAGGAGCAAAGCCTATTTGATGGAGAGAGGATAATTTTGAAAACAAATAGTACAGAACCATCTGACATTCAACTATAAAAATAGAAATCTAGACACTGACCTTTTACCCTTCATAAAAATTAATTTGGAATGAGTCATAGACCTAAATGTAAAATGAAAAGCTATAAACTTGTTGAAGATAACATGGAAAATCTAGATGACTCTGGGTTTGGCAGTGACTTTTTAGATATAACACCAAAATTATAATCCATGAAAGAAAAAATTGATGTTTGACTTTATTATCATTAAAAACTTCTACTCTGCTAAAGACAGACCACAGCTCGCAGAACACATGACCAAGAAGGGAAAGATAGGCCACGGCATTCGCAGAACATGTGACTGATAAAGGAAGTGCATGCAAACAGGCAAAGAAATTTTGAAACTCAACAATAAACATAAAAAGCTCATTACAAAGTGGGTAGAGGTTCTGAACACACACCTCACCACAGTAGGTAAGCATAGGAGAAGATGCACCACGTCATATGTCATCATATGATTCAAATAAAAATGAGATGCCACAATTTGGCCATTTCTTATTGAGCTAAACCTAATCTTACCCCATGATCCGGCAAGCATGCTATTATGTATTTACCCAAATGAGTTGAAAATTTATGTCCACACAAAAGCCTGTACACCAATGTTTATAGCAGCTTTATTTATAATTGCCAAACTTGGAAGCAAGCAGTCTGTCCTTCAGGAGGTAAATGGATAAACTCTGGTACTTCCACACAATAGAATATTATTCAGTTATAAAAGGAAATGAACTATCTTGCCATAAGAAGACATGAAGGAACCCTAAATTCTAAGGGAAGGATTTCAGTCTAAAAGGGCTGTATGCTATGTGAGTTCAACAGTAGGACATTCTGGAAAAGGCAGCAGGCAGAGATGAACAGCTGGAGCATAAGAGACTTTCTAGGGCAGGGTAGCTCGGCTCTGTAATACTGTAATGATACATACGTGACCTTAGGAATTGGCCAAAATCCATGGCCTTATACACACAGCCAACCCTAATGTAAACTGTGGACTTCATTTAATAATAATGTATTGATATTAGTTCATCAAGTGTAACAAACATACCACATTAATGCAAGATGTTACTAATGGAGGAGCATATGAGACCTCTGAGCTTTCCACCGAGTTTTTCGTGAATCTAAAATTGCCTAAAAAATGAAGTCTATCAATTTTTTAAGGTATATTTGAAATGAAATAAAGCGTATTTGGAATTAGGATGATATATTTGGCTACATAATAGAATTTTTCAAATGACTAGTAGATTTCAAAGTTTTAGATTGTGTTCTAATTGGTTTTCTTAGATAAAGCTTACTAAGCTTTTACAGTTTTCACTGTTAGGTTTAAGTAACATAGTGTTTTATTTCTCTTAGACTGTTCTAACGAAAGACAGACTTGAAGGTCTTCTTGCTTTTAAAGAGAAAAGGTCCCCTCGATACAAAGGAGAATAGAAGAAACAGAAGTTAAAAAGCCCATGTAATGAAGGTACTTCTGGAAGGTGTATTTTGGATTCATGGGAGCCTCAGCGCCTGGAATCCGAGTCACCAAAGTGAAGAGCGAGTCACCCACACGGGGACTCAGGCTCCTGGAGTGGACCTGCATGTGTACTTGGTTCAAATGTGCGTCATATCATACTCAGTTTGTAAAGCTAGTAGTGTAGACTGTCAAAAGCAGAGTCAAAATTAGGTATACATTTAAAAATATTTCTTGCATATGAGGCTTTCTGTTCTTAATTTTTTAATGTGAATAATTTATATATTATGCACACTATATATAATACCGATTGTACATCTACTGTGCTGCAGGTCAAGAATAAAATTATTTCTATATACCAAAATGTGAAGTTATACCAAATAAAGTTTCTAAGGGATTATGCCCACATGCACACATATACATCTCAAACTACAAGAGAATTGATAGCTACAATCTTGACATTACCAAATGTAAATAAAGTAGTGAAAAGAAAATTTGAAAACTTTTCTCTCAAACTATTCTTTTTGAATTGAGTACATCACATTGCATGTTGGATTTAAGAAGAAACCACCTTTCCACACTGATTCTGTCTGTTGGGTGAGGTCTGTACATAGTCTTAGATGTATATGTGTAGATTGTGGATAACTAATCCAATCAGAAGCTGGAGCCCAGGCCTTGTAAGGCCAGCTGGAGCCTGGAACTCGTGCTCCTCTACGACCCCAGTAAGTGGCCTGGCCCCAGCCTCTGGGACATGTGCAGCCCGCAGTGACAGATCCGGGGCATGGCTGAAGAGTGAAGTGGAGCCTGCCGCCTGCTTCCTCCCCCAGCCATTTACACCTAATTTCAGAAGGAAAGCCAGGAGAACACAATGGCCCTTTCTCCCTCTTCTAATGAGACATCATGCCTTTCTGCCCTTGCCAGGCAGTGCAGCTAGAAATGGGGGAGCATCTGAGGTTCGACAGCCTTGCCTGGGGGAGGCAGGCAGGTATGAAAGCGTGTGGGAAATGGTCAGCTGTGGAATTTATTGTGCAGCAGGAGGTGAATAGTATAACTCCAAACAACTGTGAGCTAGCTGTTCTGTGTTCATTTTATGAAACCAAAACTGTCTGGGGAGGGTGAGTCCAGCACGGTGGCTGGCTGCCTTGGAATCTTGCCTTTCCAGGGCTTGCTCCTCACTACTGCTGGCCTTGGGCACAATCGCTGTCCCAGAAGACAGAAGCTGGGCTCCTCTGCAGTGAAGTCCAGTTTGGCACAAGGGTGTCTGCCAGTCTGTGCATGCCCACTCAGCACCACGGCCTCCTTGCTCTCAGAGAGCATATAGGCTTCTAGTTTTTCAAATCACTGAAGGTTTTGTTTCTCATTTGGGAGATTGAACTCTCAATCTCAATTCAGAAACCTTGGAAGAATTAGGCATGGACCTGCAGTCAGCTGACATCCCCTGCCAGGATAGCCACACTGGGTTCTCACTGCTGCCACTGTGGAGTTGTGAAGATTAATCGGAGTCATGAAAGGGCTTGTGAGAATTCACATCCGTCACTGGTGATTATTTGGTGGTGTGTACACTTTGTTTACTGATAAGCTTTTGTGCAGTTCATTTCGTGTAGGATAATTTGCAAATAAAGCACTGGTTCTTATTTTTACAGTCCTTTAAAGGTTTCAGGTCCACTTTGCTCTGTCCATGACATACTCAAATGTCACTTGGTTTTGACTGAAGAGGAAGTAATTATGTTAATTGGGGAAATAGTAAGAGTGTGCTGAATGAGTTGTATCTTCCGATTTGGATTCCTAGTCCATTGCTGATTGAGTGCCATTTAATATTCTTAAGTTCTGATTAAGTCATGGGAGTATGTCTGAAGCAAAGACACCTTCCTGTAGTGACTTCAGTTTTCACAGACGTCTATATTAGAGTGAGAGAGCATGCCTGCCCAGTTGTCTGTATGGACGTTCGCCTTTCCCTTGCTGGGGCTGGTCCTCCTGCAACCCAGGTCCCGCAGCTGGGTGCAGGGCCCTGTGGCTCAGGGTGGGATGCCTGCTCGGCGGGCCCCAGAGCCGTCCCTTCTGTCTTCTTCCCCAAGCGGAGTGTTGCCACACACTCCCCTGACACCACAAAACCACATCAAGCTGATGCAGCCTTGCCGTGGACATCTCCATATGCTCGCGTGAAGCTAAAGAAGACAGAGCGAGGATAATTAACTGAGCACAGCTACAACTCGGGGACAACGTCTCATGTTATCTCAGGCTTGAGAACTACTGGTCTTGAAGTAATTCAGTGCTGGTTAATTTATAAGCTCCCCGAAAGAGAACAAGGTCTCCAAGTTAGAGGTTCTGAGTCATGAAAAGTTGTAATAATGGCTGAAATAAGACTCGGATTTTATGTGGCCCGTTTTTGTGATTTAAAGGATCATTTCAAGTTTATATTGTTTTCAATAAAAAATAGATGGCTTTCCTGTCCATCTAGTCCTTATTTTTTTCCCCCTCCTCTAAAAAAATTGACTTGCCACCGTTACTCTTCTGGCAGCACTTCGAAGAGTACTTTGTGACGCACTGGGCTCGTGGGTGTCATTTCACCAATGCCACACTCAGTGGCCGTTCACCCTTCACTTGACCATAACTCCGTCTTCTGGGGATGGGACCTACATTTGCTCTGATTTGGGATCCAGAAATCCTGGCAGGCAGATGTTTTTTAATACTTAATCTTGCTAATACACCTAGTTAAATGTTAACTAATGTGTAGGCCAACAGTTACTGGGCTTAATCAAACAGCAACAGAAGTTGTTTTCTTACATTAAAAGGTAACTATTCATTTGTCACAGATGAAAAAATACAGACTTGTAGTATTTGGTAGTATTTTGGTAAAATTAGAGCCACTTTTCTACATAGCTGAAACAGGTACAGATTGTAATTGGGGTTATTTTGAGGGACAGGGGCACTGAACACTCTGCTCAAAGTATCTCTGGGTCTCAGGCCCTCAAAACCCAGATTCCAAGTGCCTGCCTTAAGGATTTTTGTAGTCCTCTTTGGGAGCCTCCTAAAATTCTGCTACCCGCTGCCAAAGGACAGCTCCTAATCTTCAAATAACTTGCTGTGCAGATTGTTTTTCAGGTGAATTCCTGGGTGGTGTGAGAGCACCAAGTGGGTGCTGCCTGGCAGGGAGAGTGAAGGATGCCGAGGACGGACGGAAACGCGCCCCTGGAGTGGCCAGGGCCAGCGCTGGAGATGCTCATCCCCTCATAAGCTTAACGTGGAAAGGTAGGGAGGCTGTCCTTCCTCTGTGAGCTGACAGCTCCCTGGAGCAGCCAAGTGGCTCGTGGCCACCAGTGGTGTCAATACCTTTTTAAAGTATAGAAAATACTGTATTCTGTGCCTATAGTGACAATAATGACTCCTTGAAACACCATGCAGGTGTTTCCATGCAGCCCCAGAGGGAGAGGTGCTGATGACTCATGGGATCCAGAGCAGGAGCTGGAGCGTCATGGGATTGCAGGTGAGTGGTGGAGTCAGAACTAACCCAGAGCTGTTGACCAGTCATTACTGTTCAGCCTTCAAGCAGCCGAACTGCACAACCAAAGGCTACGGGTACGTGTGTGTGACAGCCTTTCTCTGATTGGTTCAGCAGTTGTCTCCTGATGGGGAAAGAGACTGAAAGTTGTGTATCAGATGAACCAAGGACAGCAGCAGACAGTGTGACACCTGCTCAGCTCCACCTCCATGCCAGGCATCTACCTGCACGTTTACACCCAGTACTCAGAACCCTTAGGAAGGAGGTTTGTCAGTTTGTAGTAGGACACTGAGGCAGAGAGCTGGATTTGCGGTAGGCATTTGTTGAGAGCCCCAACACTTCATGAGCACACCCTGGGGTGTACAGAGCCAGAGTCCTGGCAGGTGTGAGAGTTGCATCACATCCCCCAAAACCAGCTGCCTGAGTGAGTCTGAGAGCTTGTCTTCAGTAGTGATACCCACCAAAAAGTGAGTGAGCATGGGTCAAGAGCACCTCCTGGGGTCCTGCATTCATTCAGTTAGCTGAGCATACGTTTGCTCTGCTTTTCTGGAAAGCACAAAGGAGTTCTTTGGCATGGACTACTGCATCCCTTTACAGATGGACGAACAGGCTCAGAGGAAGGAGATGCTTTGCCCCCTCTCATCACTTTCAGAAGAGCTAAAACATGGCCAAAGGGCTTCATAACCAGTAATGCTGTCTTCCTCAGATGTGGTTCATGACATCTTACTTGTTTTATGTTTTGGGAGAGCCTGTTTGGACAGGGAGGTGAGTCTCACAACCGTGTCTAGTTCAGGAGCATGTTCAGGAGTCCGGACTTTTCACCCCACAAAAGAAAAGCGGCCGGAGACCAGGCAGCCATCTTCCATAGAGCCATTGCAGGAAGCTGGGGTGCTCGAGACTGCCGTGTGGCCAGCGGCTGCCACGCTGCACTGCTCACTTCTCTGCAGGTGTCCACACTGAACTGAGGGTGCATCAATGCGGGAAATGGCTTAGACTCTCCCAGGTCTGCAAGCTGTCCCGCGCCACTAAGCCTTAAGCATGGGGCTGGCAGTCTGGGGTAGGGCTGGAGGTGGAGAACAGCTCATCTAACTTGGCTCCGCTCTGTCCTGGATGTTGCCCAGATGGAAACCCATCAGCTCCCCAACAGGCTGACTGGGTGTGAAATGCACAGTGGCAAATGCTGCTCACGGGAAGGTCGGGTCATCTGAGGCATAGAAAACAGGAATCTGAATGAGGGGGTAGTTGGTAACTGCTTTGGCCTTTGGGATAATCCAGAGTTCAGGCAGCAGGTCTTTTACTATTTTATGAAAAATAAGCATTGTGCCTGAATGCTGTGTTAACAGTGTAATTTTGCAGGCTCAGGAAGGAGGTTTGCCCTGAGAAAAGCAGCCCATTTCCTCCTCTTGTTGGCTTGCCTATGGCTGCCTGGTTGCCCCCGTCAGAGGAGATCTGAAGCTCCAGCCCGCGGACTAAGGACAGGGTGGTTCCCTGCACAGCCCTTCCACCCGGCTCCCTGCCCAGGTTCAGTCCTAATGCACTTCAAAAGACTGCCACCTAAAATGTTCTCCTGGTGCAGTGAACCCGTTTCAGAGTGGGACCTGTGCACTTCTGAGAGAGTAACCGTACCGGGGCACTGGATCACAGCTTCGGGACTGTGTTCCTCTCGTGGTGATGCACACTGACAAAGATTTCAGAGGAATTTGGAGATGGGCAAGTGCACTTTCTTGACCTTTTCGAAAATAGTCTGAGTCACTTTCACTTCCACCCTCCCCTAAACCATGTTGAATGAATCCTTTGTGCAGTTTATAGAAAGTGAAGAGCAGTTTGGCAAGCGAGAGAAGTTCAAACTCCTCATAGCCTCTTCTGCATTGAGTAACACTTTTTTCGAGTTGTCTGTTAACATTTTTCTGAAACACTTTTGATGAAGCCTACAACTAGCTCATGAGTGGCCATAATTTGACTGCTTTAAAAATACAAGAAGAGTGTAACTGCTTTAACAGACAGGAAATGACAGTCCACACCTGATTTGGTGGAAAGAAATTCTCAATGTTGGAGAGGTGTAATTGGTATATTTATTCTTAGCCCCTGCCAGTGGCTCTGTCAGATGCCGGCAGAACACCAGTAGGGGTCTGCACAGAACATGGAAAGGTGCTTTATTTTCCACTGGTCTTTGGCTGTGTCTCCATGACTTGTGATTACCAAACCACTCTTCTGAGAAAACGGTGTCATCGCAGCCTGGCCACCGCACTACTACTCCTGGTATGGTGTGTGATGGCTCAAACACCAGGTACATGTGTACACAGGGAAATGTATGTTGACTTTCCTGAGAAACTGGACAGACTTGACATTTTTCACTGTATCTAATTTCCCCCAGGGATAAGCTAGTCTTAGAAAGTGAATTTGAGGAGTAAGAGAACCAAGGAAAGGAGCCAAGTCCTGGCCTGGGACAGGCTCTCCCTCTTTTACTCCATGACCTTCAGCAGATGCAGAATGGAGGCCACATCTAAGAAAAGATGCCATCGTGCCTGTTCTTCACACCTGAGAATAGAGATTACCAAAGCTGTGGTACCTGGAAAAGATATCTTGAGAATGCATTTTTGGGCTCCATTCCGTAACTTCTGAATTGATTCTGGTTTTGAAGCCCTGGAATCAGAATTGAGGAAAAAGGCATGGTGATTTTTTTTTTGAATTATAACTCACATGCCATTAAAGTCACCCTTTAACGTGTACAGTTCAGTGGTTTTAGTATATTCAGAGTTGTGCATCCCAGAATTGTGCACTAACTCCAGAATATTTTTATCCCAAAAAGTAGCTCTGTATTCATTAGCAGTCACTCCTCATTACCTTTCCTCCCAGCCCATGGCAGCCACTAATCTACTCTCTGTCTCTGGATTTGCCTACTTGAGACATTTCATGTAAATAGATTTATATAATATATAGGCTTTTATGTCTGGCTTTTTTCATTCAATATGATTTCAAGGCTCATCCATAGGGTAGCACATATCAGTATTTCATTTTGTAGCTGAAAATATTCCACTGCATGTATACACCACATTTTGTTTATCCTTCCATCAATTGATGAACAGTTGGGTTGTTTCCACTTCTTGGCTATTGTGTATGATGCTGCTATGAACATGTGTGTACAAGTATTTGTGTGAATATGTTATTCCTCTTGGGTATAAAACAAAAGTTTTTAATTTGATGAAGTTCTTTTTTTTTCCATTGTTGATTGTACTTTTGGTGTCAGCTCTAAGAAAACATTGCCTGAGCCAAGGTGATGAAGATTCATGTTTTTGTCTGAGAGTTTTGTAGTTTTTGTTTTTACATTCAAATTTTACACCCGTTTGATTAATTTTTTTATGGAGTATGACATAGGGTCCAACTCCTTTTGCATGTTAACATCCAGTTGTCCTAGCACCTTCTGTTGAAAAGATTGTTCTTTCCTCTGTTGTATTGTCTTGGTAACCTGGTCAAAAATCAGCCATTATATAAAGGTTTATTTCTAAATTCTCAATTCTGCTCCATGGTCTTACACCAGCATCCTTAACACCAGCATCAACACTGTTGATCTGATCATGTGATGGTTCTTTTATTCTATTGTTGTGGTTATTATACTGATCGATTTCCAGATAAGAAACTAGTCTTGCATCTCTGGAATAAACCCACAGTGTCTACTCCCTTTTTTATGCTGCTGGTGGCCTGCTAGTATTTCGTTAAGGATTTTTGGATCTGGGTTTATAAGAACTTACCATGTAGAGTTCTTGTGATGTGTTTGGGTGTCAGGGTAATACTTGTTCATAGAGTCATTTCAAAGTGCTCCTTTCTGTTTTTTAAGAAGAGTTTTTGCAGCACTCACTGGCGCTAAAAATTCTACTATAATCATTTAGTAGAACTTACCAGCGAAACCCACTGGACCTGGACTTTTCTTTGTTCAAAATGCTAATTCAGGCTCCTGTTACAGCTCTGTACAGATTTTCTATTTCTTCCTGAGTCAGTTTCAATAGTTTGTGTCTTTTTAGGAATGTTTCTGTTTCATCTGGGCTAATTTGTTCATATACAAGTGCTCAAAATATTCCTTTACAATTCTTTATATTTCTTTAGGGTCACTAACTGTGTTTGTAGAAATAAATGAAATAGAGAACAGAAAAAACATAGAGAAAAATTAACAAAATGAAAAGTTGCCTCTCTGAAAAGCAACAAAATTGACAAACCTCATTGGAGGGGAGAAGACTGAATGGTTTTGTTTTCATCCATCTTGAAGTATTTTTGAATTTCTCCTGTGCTTTTTTTCCTCTGGCCTTTTGAAGGAGTTTTTTAGGATTATCTTCCTTAATTTCCACATACTTCCCAAATTTCCTTGTATTACTGATCTCAAGTTTAATTCCATGAGAAGGTTTTGGCCTTATTTTTTAAAAAATTGTTTCTACCCCTTTCTGCCCTCTCCCTCTGGCACTCCCATCATGCACATATTAGTACACTTGGTGGTGTCCCACAGCTCTGTTCATTTTCCTTTGCTCTTTTTTCTCTACTCTTCAAATCTGATGATTTCTATTCCTATGTCTTCAACTTTACTGATTTGTCTGCCATGTCAAGTCTTCCCGTGAGACCATCTAAGTGAATTTTTTGTTTTAGTTACTGTATTTTCAACATTAGAATTCTTCTTTGGTTCATTTTTACAATTTCTCCTTGTTAATATTCCTCGTTGATGAGACACTTTGTCAAACTTTTCTTTAATTCTTTGAACATATTTAAAAGAGCAGATTTAAAATCTTGTCTAGTTAAGTCCAACGTCTTGGCTTGTTCAGGGACAGTTTCTGTAGGTCGCTTCTTTTCCCTGCACAGTTCACACTTTCTTTGCATGTCTTATCATATTTGGTTTAATAATGGACATCTAAAATACTAGAATGTGGCAACTCTGGAAATCAGACCCTTGCCTCCCCACCCCCACCTCTGTGGTTGCTGTTTGTTCATTGAAGTGGCCTGAAATAACTCTGTGTTCTTTGTTGTGTGTGAGGTCTCTGGTTAGCTCCATGGTCAGCTGATGCTGGACTGAGATTCCCTTAAATGCCTTGAGCCACTAAGTCTCTAGCTGTGTGGAGACTTGCAGAGGAGCTCTGTGTGCATGTTGGGGCAGGCCTTCTGTGCTTTGTCGGGGAATTGGCAGCCTTGCCTCAGCCACCACTGCCTTTCTGTGCAGAGCCTCAGGATCGGCCAGAGGTGAGAGTTAGGGCCTTCTCAGGTCCTCCCTGAGTGTGCGCACAGCCCTGCTCATGTTCACTGCCTTTAGTTTCCAGGAATGTATCAGAGCTTTTCTTGGCTCTCTTCTGTCCCCCAGTTTCTCCTTTTAAGTTTTTGGGTTAGCTTCTTGTTTGCACCAGCTGTTATCACTGCCTCAGGCAACCTGTGATGCTAAATGGCTGTTACTGGTTGTTCTGCAGAGAAAGCTGTTCACAGTGAGGGGGGCTTTGAGTCAGGTCAGATAAATTCAAGACCTGTAAGTGGGGATGCACCCCTGATTGATTCTCCAGGGTCACATAATCACAAATTTCTAGGAATAGGTCTTTGGGAATGCTACAGGCATGGTGATAGTCAGGTCATGGCTGCCCTGGCTCTGAGGCTCTTGGTTTTCAAGCTGTACAAGGAGTTTGGAAAAGGGAGCTTCATATATAGCAACTTAAGATGCTACAGAGCATGAAGTTCTTAACGAGATTTTTATTGAATAAGTACTCCTTGGGTTGCAATTTGTTCATTGAAGTGGCCTGAAATAACTCTGTGTTCTTTGTTGTGTGTGAGGTCTCTGGTTAGCTCCATGGTCAGCTGATGCTGGACTGAGATTCCCTTAAATGCCTTGAGCCACTAAGTCTCTAGCTGTGTGGAGACTTGCAGAGGAGCTCTGTGTGCATGTTGGGGCAGGCCTTCTGTGCTTTGTCGGGGAATTGGCAGCCTTGCCTCAGCCACCACTGCCTTTCTGTGCAGAGCCTCAGGATCGGCCAGAGGTGAGAGTTAGGGCCTTCTCAGGTCCTCCCTGAGTGTGCGCACAGCCCTGCTCATGTTCACTGCCTTTAGTTTCCAGGAATGTATCAGAGCTTTTCTTGGCTCTCTTCTGTCCCCCAGTTTCTCCTTTTAAGTTTTTGGGTTAGCTTCTTGTTTGCACCAGCTGTTATCACTGCCTCAGGCAACCTGTGATGCTAAATGGCTGTTACTGGTTGTTCTGCAGAGAAAGCTGTTCACAGTGAGGGGGGCTTTGAGTCAGGTCAGATAAATTCAAGACCTGTAAGTGGGGATGCACCCCTGATTGATTCTCCAGGGTCACATAATCACAAATTTCTAGGAATAGGTCTTTGGGAATGCTACAGGCATGGTGATAGTCAGGTCATGGCTGCCCTGGCTCTGAGGCTCTTGGTTTTCAAGCTGTACAAGGAGTTTGGAAAAGGGAGCTTCATATATAGCAACTTAAGATGCTACAGAGCATGAAGTTCTTAACGAGATTTTTATTGAATAAGTACTCCTTGGGTTGCAAGCTTTTGGTTAATTTCAAGCATTCTCTAAAAGCTGATTTGACCATTACTCTTATTGAAGATTGTCATTGCACCATTCCTGTTGACATCACCAACCAACGGAGTCTAATGCAGCCATGTGCACCCTGGGATAGTTTTGATAAATAAAGTATTTGAGTAGCTTTCTGACTTCTGGTAAATCGAAAAACTGATGTTTATTGAATAAACTAATGTCCGCTAAATAATAATAGAGCAATAATAATACATTAATCATTAATTCATAATGGTATAATCATTGGTGTTATTAGAATATTAATAATTATTAACAATAACATCATGACATTTGTTATTATTATAACCCAAAATGTTTACTATACCTACTTCAAAAATGTAAAGTTTATGTGCAGTTAAAGGCTAGGGCTTCCTGTGAAGTTGTTTTTAAATTTGTGCTCCTGGTAGTAGTACGCCCAGGAAGTAGACATCTGCTGCTTCAGCTGAGGCTGCCCCTGCCTAGTCTCAAGGTTGACATGGTCTGTAGAGGATCTGTGTTCATTCAACCACCAGTGGATAAACAAACAGCCGTAGATCAAAGCATATCAATCCATGAATGCAGAATTCAGGTTGTAAAAATCAAGTTAATTATTGAAACCCTACCATTTGTAAGTGTTTTGTGTTTTCACAGAAGTACAAACTTTCTGTCCTGTTAAATTCATGTTCCACTGCTGGACATTAAGACTATAATGTCAAACAGTTAATTAATTTGAACTTGTTAGATCTTGGACAGGATTTGAAGTACAATAAGAGTTTGCTATTGATGAAGAGTCCTTTTCTAAAAAAAAAGAATGTAAAATGAAAATAATCAAGATGAAATTTGATGATTTATTTCTAACATACACTAGGGAACCAGATACCTTCTAGTTGTTTATCAGGATGTATAATGGGCCCTCTGTTAAGTTGCAGAAGAATTTTACAGTTAAGGGGGTCACTGAAAACAGTAGAAGAAGTCATCCCGCCTCCACCTCCCTGCTAACTGCCAGAGCTCCTCCAGCACGGAGGCCACTATTAGCACCGGTACCTGGCTAATTACAGGCCTGCTCCACCAACATCCATGTCCTGTTACAGGTGTCATAGCAGTGGGGCTGCACAGGCTCTTTATTCATGTGCAATGACGACATGTTTGTCTTGAGTGTTTCACAAGTGTTCTCTTTGGATAATAGGCAAGATTAAGTAACAGTTTCTTGCTAACTTCATTGCTCAAGACCATCAGACATGAGGGACTGAGATTTGATGTATTGTGCATGTGTCTCTGGTTCCTGGTGTCCTACATTTTGCTTTTCTTTTCCCAAGTATAAGGTAATCTTATTGTGGGACTACATCTATTGTTTCTAACACAAATGCCAGGAACCACTCAGCAAAATATTTGATTTCAGTTTCACTGGGTAGTTTTTATAA